TTTTTTTTTGTTATACTTGAAAATCTTAATCTCAGAAGTTCAACATTTAGACCTTGTATTTCAGCCATTGCTTATTTTCCTAACTTGGCAAGCCATGAGTTAAAAAAAAATAGACTAAAAGCTGTATAACCTGTGCTCCATGTTAGTTATAGCAGACTTCTCTTGTACTTCGCTTTTCAGAAGGGAATAAATGACATAACTGTAGATCTAGACTTAACTTTTTAAAAATGCTCTGTGTAATGCCATTCATGAATTTGCACCAGCTGCCTTTGCAAATGTCTTTTAAGAAGTCCAGAATTTTGCTTTACAATGCTTCTGTTTTCAAACATGGGTAGAGAAGTGTATGAGCTTTATGCATTTTCTGTCCTCATGATGTTTGTCATAGGAAAGCTGGAGACCCTTGCTAAACTTACTTTCTTAAAACTGTAGTCCTTTATCAATTTGACAAATGAAAATAAATCCACAATTCAGATGGTTAAAGCTTTATAGTTCATTAGCCTAAATAAATCATAAGTCTTGAAAAAGAAATAATTCTTGTGCGTAGTAATTACCTTGAATCCAAATTTTTATGTCATACCAGCCGCATTGTTCTCCCAACCCCATAAAATTGCACGGAATCTCACATTTATTCTGTGATGGATTTTTCTTTACAACTTAAATCAGATGTGTTATTTTAAGTAGTGATGAATTAGGAAGCCGAGGGAAAAACCTGACAGATACAACATTTACCATCTTGGATTTTTCTGAAGAAAAAAAAGGTACTGATTTTTAGAATGTAGCCTCGAATCAAGTTAGTGATGAAGGTTAGTAGCTCCCCCCAGAGAAATGGTAGGGAGAGGGAATATAAAGGAAATTAAGTTCGCTTTTCCAGATACTAATTTCTTTTCTTTCTCATGGCAATGTGAAGTAGTATTTGGACCTTGTTTTATTATACAATAATTCTTCTTTTTCCAATTTCATTAATAATTCTTTCTTTTCAGTTTCCGCACTAGCAAAGGTGTTGGATATTCTGCTCATTTTGTTGGCAACTGCTTAATAGTTACGTCATTGAAGTCAAAAGGCAAAGGCTTCCAGCACTGTGTGAAGTATGACTTTCAACCACGCAAGGTAAGCAAAGTGGTATTCACAATAAAGAATAACATTGAAAATGTGACAAAGTGCTTCTGGGAAGAAGTGCTAAAATCTCTTTAGTGCCATAGCGTTACTAATAATCTGTAATTTCTTATTTATAATTAGCTTCTCTGATGGTCATGCAAAGTTTTATGTCAGTGACAGACCAGAATCAATTCAGGAAAGATGTAATAATTTATAAAGTAACACTTCTGTGCAGTCAACTTTTTAAAAATACTGCTTAATTAGCTTCAGATAGAGAAGAATTTTGAGTATTTGTAAAATGGTTGTATTTTACTTTAAAAAGGCCATCATTCTATTTCTGAACAGCCTGTACGTGGTAACTTTGTTGACAATGTCTGGAACAATTTTGCTGGCAATGCTAGAGTTTTGTTATCTGTTGCTGAGACATGCAAGGCTGTGAACTTTCTTCTATGTCAGTGGTATTTGGGGATTTCACATTTTTCATATGAAACTTTGTTTATTTCTTTCAATCATATTAGTGTTCATTTCTACTGTATGCCTAGCAGTCTTTGGAGAACAACGATTCTGCTGGCTTCAATATTTCTGTTAGTTGACGGAAGCATTGACTTCTCTGTGCAGAGAGCATTATGTGTTTGTCATTGATAACAGCCTTGTATATATTTTGCTGTGAAGCTAATGTCTTTTTTTATGGCCTTAGAATTTGTATATTGAATTTCAGTCCTTGTTTTGTTTTGAGAAACCAATCTCATATGGAGGCAATGCCTTTGTTCACTCATCAGCTTTATGTTCTACTATTTATTTGGTCTGTATTTGTGATTCAAAAGCACTGATTCTAATTCTGTCATGTAGCTTTGAGGTCATGTGTGGTTTTTTAAAACACAGTAATGTCTTTTTCTAGCATATTGCACACAGATGTATAAAGCCTTATAAGCACATATCTGCTGAGAGTATTGAAATTAATTAATTCTGTTTTGCAAATTTTATTTAATTTTATAGCCAGAAAAGAGTTTTAATGACAGTTCAGTTTTCTTTTAAAGCAGCACATCTGATGTTACGGATAAACACTCAACCTAGGAACAAATGGAATTATTAACTTTTGGATTATGTTGTTGATAACTAGCTTTTGGGATCTAGCCAATCATTTCTTTTCTTGTTGATGAAGAAACGGTCTTTCATATTTTAGCAGGATATTCTTTTGATAATTTTTATTATAAATTACTAGTTTCCTTGACATCCCTGGTAAATTTTAGTTTTTGCTATTCTACTTAAAATAGTTAATTCTAAAATGCTAGTACATGTATATCTCATTATATGAATATCAGTTTCAAATCATAATCTGCTGATCTGCTAAACTATGTACATATATAACTTCCATGCCAGTTTTATATTCCTCAAAGATCATGCTTCATACACTTCGGGTCCTATGTCAGATTTAGAAAGTATTTGAAATAAATCTTCTAGAATATATTTGCAAAGTGGTCTCATATGATACATTTTTTCCATTAATAACTTATGTGTACATGTATGTGGGAGGGTGCATAATGGAGGAAAGAAAACCTGTCAAAAACAATTTCTGGCTCTATCAAGTCAAAACATATCCTGTTTAACATGCAGATTGATTTTCTTCATGATATTTGGGTATTACATTTGTTCCACTGTGCAAGCATTGAATGTGTAGAGAAGTATTCAAAAAATGTGTACCCAGTAACAAATGCTAACTTGACAAGTGTGATTTTTGTCATCAGATACACTGTTTTCTAGCCATTTGCTTACAGATGTAGACATTTCAGCAATAGCTTTTGCCAGAAACATCATCCTCTTTAAACTTCTCAATAATGCTTTTTTTTTTTTATTTTTTGTTGAATCACAGTAAAATTATATATTCAAGCCACCTGGTCAAAAGGTGTATGTAGGCAAGTCAAAAAAACACTATGTACATGCGAAGGTCTTCCCACTGTTACCTATGTCATATAACAAGAGTCACAGAATAATATGTAATGTTGATTTAAAACTTCAAGGCATGTTAAGTGGTTACTTTAGGTTTTAAGTAGTGTATTTTAACAATATTATGAAAGCAAGTATTTATAAAAATACATGGAGAAATTTGGTCATCGTATGCCAAAAAGAAAATGTGGGTATCGTATAATAGACTGACCTCTCAACAGAGCTAAAATACCGTTGGCATTTAAGATGTCTATACTGCTTTTTGGGACTCCAAAGTGAAATTTCTGTGTATTAGTAACCCCCAGGAATTTTCACTCCCTTGAGTGAAAGGGATGCCTCAGCATCAATCCTTGTAAACATATGAACAGTTTAGTTTGCAGTTGAGAGCAATCAGCTTTTTTTTTTGGTGTTTCTAATCCTGAACACCTTTACTAATTGTAATATAGACTGAAATAAGTTCCATATTTTGGAAATACTTGGTGTGTGATGCCTCATCTCTCTGATTGTACTGTGCTATGGAGTAGGAGTATGACTTACTAAGCAGTGGGTGATTAAGTTTGAAAGATTTCAGCAGTATAAAAGATTGACAGACTGTTATCTGAAGTGTCTTTGAGTACTACCTAAGGAGGCTCTTGTTATAGCAGAGAGGCATGGTCTTAGCACATTTTTGAGAAATTGATATAGAGAAGGAGATTGTAGGATGAACTTAAAAGAAAAATACATTACTTCATGTTTTGTTTCAATATTCATCACTTACATGACTTCAAAAATTTTTGAAAAAGGGAATTTTTCAACTAAATGGTGAAGCAAAATGTTGTATGAGATTATACAACTTGGTTCGGTTCATTGTGTATTAGTAAAGTCCTGAAAACCATGTCCTCAAGATACAGAACAGGAGAGAAATCAACAAAACGCCTGTACATCATCCGCAAAGAACATTGACATAAATGAGACATAGTCAACAGGACATTATGAGACATGCATATATGCTTGCTTCCACGTATCTAAAAAAATCAAAGAGAAACTGGAATGCCTATTTTAAATGAAGTTATTGAAATAATGTAAGTATCAGAAGCTTTGCTGACTTGACCGTCAGTGGGCACTCATTTCAAATTGTACTTACAGTTATGATTGACAGTGGGGCAGCTCTTGCCAATAGAAGAGTGATGCCCTGTGTTAAAGACTTAACCTAATTAGATAAATAAGTTCATTGTAACAATAAACAGCAGAGTTTCTGTGCGCTAAAAATCAGTAACTATGTAGGAAAACCATACTGTTCAGATTAAATTGTTAGCCACACGGTAAGGATGATTATAGCATCTGTGATGAACTGGGGAAGATCAGAAAGCACACTAGTATAAAGAAGCTCACATTACTTTGCTATAAACTGGGTGGCATCTTACTGGGATGAGAGTTCAAACCACACTAGTATAAAGAAGCTCACATTACTTTGTTATAAACTGGGTGGTATCTTACTGGGATGAGAGTTCAAAGTTCTAAATACCAGAATTATTTCTTTTTGAATTATTAAAATTATTTCTTTTTGAAACTTTTAGAGAGCTCAGAGGTTGACTCTTGCTTGCCTTTGTCTTAAAAAATGCAGAATATTCTTGGATATGCAGGATTTTTTATTTTTATTCTTAAAGGAATTGAAAAAAACTCCCTTCACTCCTTAAAAAAAAAAAGAGGAACAATTAAAAATGGAGGTGCTTGATAGTGCTAGAGAAATTGCTTAAATGCAAAGATACAAAAGGCTAAGAGCAAATATACGATTAGTCCAAAAATTCAATAGGAAGTTTAAAAGCTCCTCACAATGTACCTGAGCTCAGATAAATAGCAAACTAGAGATCATTGTAAGTAAAAAGAAGTTGTTCAGAAAGTGGAAGTTGTATCAAAATGAAGAATACTTAGAAAAGTTTAAGTTAGAGCAGTTTATATGTAAAATGATAAGACAATGAACTTTTTTTTCCAGTCCATAGGGGCAGTTGGATTGACTAAAGAGCCCTTGAAGATTATAATATCATAACAAAAAAGCTAATTGAATTAATTGCATCATTGTTTACTACAAGACAAGTCAATGGGGATAAGTCAGAGGAAGTGTCTCCACTTGAAATGTCAGTAGAAGAGATATAGAAATCAATATAAGAGATAGTAATTAATTACCAAGACCCTACAGTAGGCATCCCCAAGTTCCAAATAAATTTGAATATTAAATTTGTCAAACTTTTAATTGTGGTATATAACCTATTTTGTCAGACAAATGGTAGATGTAAAATTACAACAATTTTAGAAAAAGGTGTTGCTGATATTTAGAATTACATATTATCATGCCTGATTTCTTGGCTATCAAAATGGGCTAGAAGCTAGAAAAATTGAAAGGAAGGATTAGAAAACACATAGATAAACATATTGAGGACAAAGCAATGCAATATTGCACTGGAAGTCTTGTCTCCCACTTATGCTGAATTATTTGAAGGATTCTTACTCTGCCTAAGAACAGGTTTGTGAGCCACTTGATACATTCTATGTGGATTCCCCAAGAACTTTAGGCATTATACTCCTCTGAAAGCCTTAAAGGAATTATGCTATCATGCCAAAAGAGAATTTATATTCATTGAAATAGAAGGGTAGAAGGATCTAAATCAAGTGAGCAAGCAGAAATCTCTGAAAGACCTTTATTTTCCTGTCGAGAATGTGTTATAGACTTAACTCGGTGGAGCTTGTCATCTTCTATTTTAGGAACTAGCTTTGCAAAATTGTTGCTCATTTTATCTAGATTGATGCTAGTGATAAGTATGACACAGAGAGTAAACCATTTTTAAATACTTGAATACTTCCCTGGCTAAAAATAAATTACAGTTTAAAGTGTAAATTTAGTTAATTCAAGTGCAGGAGGCAAAAGAGCAATTTTTTACTGGATTAGTTATGAGAATGAGCTGGGATAGACTCTGTGTTCATGTGAGTGTGCATGTATATTCAAGTACAGAAAAGTTCAATTTTTTTGTAGAGCTGCCTTCATCAGAGTAACAGACATAGGTAGTGTTCTGACATAGCGGCAAAGCCAAAGGTTCAAAAAAGTTGCATGGAAAAAAGGAAACTTGTGCTAAAGGAAGCTGCATGTGCATAAATGGAGGTTAATGTGGGGGGGAAATGATTATAAAAAGTAGATTATGTAATTTTCCTAAAGGTTGACATGGACACCAAAGGTCTTCCAAGATAGCATTGCTCATTTTAGTTCCTTACAGGCTGTGTGGGCTGTGTTTCAACAAAAGTAATGTACCATATGTTTCCAAATGAATGAGTGATCTATTAAGCTTAAACTACACACAGGGACAGACTTACAAACTGGTATGTTGTCAGAAATGCTCCTAAAGCACTGTAAAAAAAAAATCACAGACAGAAGATAAATGGATAAGACTTGGGGCTTATGGTTGTCAGCCGATCTCTGCTACAAAAGTATCAGAACTGGAAATATGAGTAAATAGTTATAAAAGGTACAACTTTGAATAGTGCTATTGCAAAGATTGCTTGCTTTTGGGATGAAAGTGTTTAAAATCATCATCACTTAGTGGAGATTATTGTTAAATTAACCTTTGAAGGAAAGGGGACATTGGAATTTTTCTTCTAAGAGTTTTATGTTAGGTGGTGTGGAAGCTTTGGGAAAGGAAGTGTTGATGAAAGCAGAGCTCTAGTTGTGCCATTTGCGCTTCGTTTCTGATTAGCATCGTCACCAGTTAAGCTTCTAGACTTTGAGTTATGAATAATTTGTTGGACTTATGGTGGATGTTCCTTTCTGAAGTAGAATCTGCCTACAGAATGGGAAACAACAATTTCTTATCGAATTGTGGGTTTGTTTTTTGAATTTGTGGGGTGGGGAATGGCCTACAAAAAATACTTTGTTCATGATTACTTGGGAAAAAAAATTAGATTAGACTGGCCACATGTGATTTCAGAAGCCAAAGCTGTAGCAGTATGTCCCTAATCTAGTATTGCCCGATAAATCTCTTTACTTGGATATGTAAGTGAGATACTCTTATATAATGTTGTATCATTAATAGTTTTTTCCCCCTTCTATGAACTGTAGGTTTTAAGGGGGGTGGGGGTGTGAAAGAAAATGTATTTTTAAAGACCTGGAAAAAGTTGTGGAAAAAATGTGTATTCTAATGTATATAGATGTTATAGGTACGTAACAGCATACAGCTGGATTTGAGGACTATCGCAACAATTACTGACAAAATATATTTTGCTGCATGCCTTTTTTATTTGTAATTCTGTGCTCTGTCTGACTGCAAAATCAACATGTGAAAACTTTTTACTTTTATTTTGTCTGATAGAGAGAGGCAGATTTTTATATTAGCAGGCTCTATATCTAGTTACCCCAGCTCGGGAATAGAGTCACCAAGCAACTTATTAAAATAATTCACTAAAGGATGCAGAAGTTCTCTGCTTTGAAAAAAGAGACTTAGCTGAGCATAAAAATCAAAAGATAATAATTGAAACAGTAAATTGTAAATTACTATTCCGAATTACTAAAATATGAAATGGCGTCGGCAAGGGCAGATGAGCTGACTGTTTCAACAGAATCAATAAGATTGGAAAGGAACGTGTTGAGACAATCAACTCTCACCCTCTCTTCAAAGAAGGGACACACAGATCAGGTTGCTCTGGACGTTGTCCAGTCAGGTTTTGAATATCTCCAAGCAAGGAGACTCCACTTTCTCTGAGCAACCTGTGCTAGTGACCATCCTTACTGCTTACTACCACCTTTCTTACATATTCCTGTATTTCAGTTTGTGCCCGTTGCCTTTTGTCCTGTCACTGGATACTAGTGAGAAGTCCCTGGCTCGATCTTATTTATCCCCTGCCCATCAAGTATTTATACACATGGGTAAGATCCCCCTGAGCCTTCTCTTCTCCAGGCTAAACAGACCCATATCTCAGCCTCTCCTGATGTGTCAGAGGCTTCAATCGTTAAACATCTTTGTGGCCCTTTCTGGACTTTCTCCAGTATGTCCATTTTTGTCTGGTTTGTATGTATTTTGAAATGATACAGACACCCGTTATAGTTAAGTATGAGTTGATTTGCAGTCCTTAAAGATTAAATTTCCTTTCCTAGTCTTAGATTAGTTTAAAGGTTTGGTTTTAAAGGAAACTTAAGGTTTCCTTCTTGAAATTACTCATCATGCATAACGATTCCTGTTGAACAGATTATTTGAAAGATCACCGTAGCTGGTTTTGGAAGCATTTAACTGTAATGCTTTATCTGATTATATAATGCATTTTTAATGATGCAACGGTTGTCAAAAAATTGGTGGAATGGTAAAGAATAGAGGAAGAAAATCATATGAAGCAATCAGGATGACCTCTTAAGCTGGGCTGTAAAATTTGCTGTTGTGAATTTTTTCCTTTTATTTAATAATTTCTGACAGAGCGCTATGATGAAAAGACAGAGATATGTGATATGAATTTGTTAAGGTAAGTGCACATAGAACTGGATTTCCCATCAGAACTCAGTTGTGGTTTTTGTTACGGCGTATGGCTTTTAAATCAAATAACACTTTCAGGAATGAAAGTGAATTCAAATTTTTAATTGTATTTATGCATTTTTGGCTCTAATCCCATAAAGGGATGCAGGTAGGTACATCATTATATTTAGGCATGGTTCTACAGACTGGACTTGAAGTTCCCCTGACCTGACTTTTAATTTTACAAGTTTGCAAGGATTCATCTGTTTGTATAACTTTTCGAGACTGGTCACTTATTTTTAGTGCCATTCATTAACTTTATGTTTTATAGCACAAAAACTGCCATTATATACTGATTTTCCATGTCTTTACAGTGGTACATGATAAGCATTGTACACATCTATAATCGATGGAGAAACAGTGAAATACGGTGTTATGTGAATGGTCAGCTGGTATCCTATGGTGACATGGCCTGGCATGTTAACACGAATGATGTAAGATTTTATTATTTTCCTTTCTCATAGCTTTGCATTTTAAAGTAAACTGAAAAAGAAAAAAAAATACTATATTTCTTTTCTCTAGATCTTGGCAAATTTTCTTTTTTTAACTTTCTCATTTAATCTATCTTCCTTAGTTATGTACTTAATAAAATGTAATATTATTGATTTTATGTATTAATGTTTTCTATAGTATTGGGGGGGGTGCGGCATTTTGCATAGCTATTTCAATGACATTTTCAGAGATTTTGTTTGGAGAGACTGTTATAGGTAATATTTTTAATATGTGATACTGTGTAAAGGACACTGATAACAATACTTACCTTTTTTTCCATAGGAAAATATGGTAAAATTACAGATTTTACAGATTTATCGTGAGAAAAGTCCTTAAGAAATACTGATTCATTCTGCCTAATGACTATGCATACTGCCAATATATACAAAAGTACTCATTTTTGTGTCACATTAAGTTCGGTTGTATTGAAGAGGATATACTTCTTAATGGTTAAAAGATTTCTATGCTTTTTGTGTTACTGAATGTTAAATTTTAAGGAGGTTTTTTAATTGCAGTATAACGGAGTAGCCTGAAGTATGATCCGCATCATTGTTTTAAGCACTCTATAAGTATAGTAAGAGGTCATTTCTTCTATGCAGAGTTTACAGTTTTAAACCAACAAGATAGAAAGACAAAAAGTAAAAGCTAGGAAACAGAAGCGTGGAAAAGTGTCAAGAGATTTATAATATTAAGCAAACTCTGAAATCTTACGTCTATCTCCCAACAATGAATATATTTTGCCTGTTTTTGTTTGACTTGGTATCAGTAAATAACCAGTTGACCAATATTAAAAATGCTGTGCTAAGTTTTAAGGTATTAATATTTAATTAGTATTGTTAGCAAGTACAAATTGCCTGCTACAAAATTGGATCCCTAAAATACTGAGCAATTTTCTTGGCCAGTGAACTTTTACAGAGAGATGTCCTCCCTTGTTGGCTATCCAAACCAGTTAAAAGATACTGAGAGATGTACAGTTGCATAGCATTAGCCAGATCAGAGCAAAGGCACTTGCATCTGCTTGTCCCACAGGCAGAAACCAGTCATTTCTACCTGGAGAAGATTGCATGTATACCTGTAAATATACCTGTATCTGTTAATTGGACTGAGTTCAAATTAACAGTATGTTCTTACAGGAAATGCATCTGTTTTCATATTATTTATATTTAAATGCTTTTAATGAAATCTATATAAGTTTCAAAAAAAAATTTTTTTGCGGTATCTTTTTGTACCTTCTACTTAGGAAGGTTTGAGAGTGTACACCTAATGATGCAGAACACAGGCTCTCTTTCTGGCCCAAAATTTTAGATGGGGAAGGCAGACAAAATGATTCACTTCTGCTTTGCCTTCAGCTAAAGTTGTGCTAGACTTTTAGAGGTGCTTCATTCATCCACTTGCTGCACTTTTGTTACTAACTATTTATAATATAATTCTCAGTTGTTTCTGACTGCTTGTCTAGGATAAGGAAGTTCTTTTGTACTTAAGGAAATTAGCTAAATTCTAGAGGCAAAGCTGGATTTGAAAGGGAGAGTTTAAATATTGACATGTTAATTAAAGTAAGAGGGCTCTGCTTGCCAAACTTTCTGATCAACGTTCTTTGTTTTTTTGGTAGCATTTTTACTTGCAAGAAAAGGCAAGGCTTTCAGTTTTTGCAAAGCATGGTTTCTCCTTGGTAATATGAACTTTTTTGTGATAGGTGAGAATGTGATGATTGAAAAGCCAGCTGAGGTCTCAGAGGATCTGGGCTGAGTTACTAGTTATGTGGTGTGTAATCCTTAATGATAAATGCTTAGCAGGAAGAGCTGTTCCTATTCATATTTTCTTCACAATATTCCTTTCTACTTTCTCATGTTAACAGAAGTACAATCTTTTGCTTAAGGTGGGATTCATTTACCAATCTTCAGATGTTTTGGTATAAGTCTTTTAATTTTCAGCCAAGGTTTTACTTTGTCCGCTGTAGCATAGACTAAGTTATGAAAAACACTAGTTATCATTAGCTTTCTATTTTTTAATAACAAAAATCCGCTATATCAGAAGTAGGAAATAGAATAGAAAGTAGGAGAAAACCAAGAAAGATGTATGAATGGAACAGTGCATAAAAGGCAAAAAAGGAAAATAGGGGAGTGTGTATGTAGGCTCCTTAGCACTATTATACATTATCTAGGAAGAGAAGCTCTTGTTTTAACTGTATTAGAACTTTCTTGTTTCATATAAAGGTTGAGTTGTTAAAAGCATTCCCTTGAAAAGTCTTGAGCAATTATCCAGCTTATTTGTTAACTTCTACCTTTATACCCTTCCACTTGTATATAACTTTAGTCAAGACAAATTTTCTTTAGGCAAGAAAATACCTTACTGTAATAGCTTTGGAGGAAAAGAAAGAACTACGCAAGTCAGACAATCCTTCTTTCTTTACATTACCTATTGTGCATAACTGCTTATGTAGATTATACTGATAGATTTAACAGTATAGGTTCTTTGTATAGCTGTTTCTATCATGAATGCTGCTGATACACTGTTTCCACAGAGCCATTTTTGGCTCCAACTTTATTATTACTATTTAATGAATTATAAAAACCATAGCAATGCTGAGATTCATTGTGTTAGGATGCTACACAAGTTACAGTGGCTAGTGGTAAATAACGCATTCAGTTTATCTTCACAGGAGTAAATATAGCTAGAGATTATGACAAAAAGATGAAATGAAATGCATGACAGGGTGTAACATAATCAAATGTGCACTTGCTAGTTGATCAATAGTCATGATCAGCTCTGTATGCCTTATGGATTTAATTATTTATAAGAGATCAAATACACTTTGAGATGGAAGTTAAATTGGAAGCTTGGCTATTACAGGTGTTAGACTAGGAATTTTCCCTAGTTATGGGAAGTAACATGAGAGAAAGCATAAAACTTCTCTTCAAGGTCTAGAATATGGGGACATTGAGATTTGGCAGAAGCTTTGTGTTCAGATAGCTGGATGAAGATAAACTTGATGATGTCCTGAAGTCTTTCACAGAACTTTGCCTGTCTGTTATATGATAAGGAAACTGTAGAAAGATTTAACAACTTGACATAAGTGGTGAAAAAACAGCAGGTTGATGACATCAGTAGCAGTTGGGCTGCATTTGAAGGAAGGCTTATAAACGTCAAGTTTATTAAGGATAAAGTTATGTCCTTAAGTAACAAGGTCCGTAAATCCCAAGAGTTTATTTCTTTATGTGAATAAAATAGGATTTGGACCAAGGCACTGAATGAAGTAGATCTGTCAGTCACCTAATCTTTGGGTCATTAATGACATACTACCAGGGATGTACAGTAGTAGGCAAACAAACTTGGATCAGTTGGTGTCCATTGGGTTTAAAGCTGTTGAAATGTGAGATATGTGCAGACCAAATGGCCTATGAGTATTGGGTGTTAATTTTTAAATAAATAAACAAACAAACAAATAAATAAATAAATATTGTTTGGCATCTGGAAAAGTGAATAAAAATTACAGGAAGATCAGGAGTTAACCCTCCACTCTAAATAAAAATAATGGAAACAGCTAATCCAGAATGAAGGACCAGAAATTGGGCAAGTGTAATCTGGTAAAAATGAAAAAAAGACAGAACTGGAAATTACTAGAGGTTAACAGACCTAGAATGTAATTATATGTAAAACTCAGAATCTGTTGAGAGCTACCACGGCTGTTCTACAATTAATGATAACTAGAAGAATCCAGGAAAATTCCCTTGTTATAGGCAAGAATGTATGTCTCAGAATGTGTAAGTATGAACTAGGAAGAAGGGTAGCTTCGGTAGCTCAGACGAATTTCTCAAATAAGCATTAAGAATGGAAATTGCTCAACATGACTTAACAATTTCTGACAGTAGTGGTGCAAATGTAAGTAAAGCCTTCAAGGCTAAGCAAGACTTCCATGAACTAACTGAAATTTGTTAGGAAGTTTCACCATTAGATTTACCAGTAGTCAGAGTGCTCTTACAGCCCATCTTTTGCACTGTGCATCCTGGATATGACTTTGTGAACCAATTTCGATATAGTTTTTTTCAGATGTTTTTCAGGTTCTGTCCAAAAAACTACAAAAAAATGTAGACAAAAATGTAGAAATTCCAAGGGAAAAAATTAGAATAGGTATTTGGTCAAAAAGAGGATAACTCAGGCATAATATCCTGGATACTTCTTACCTCACCTCATTGCAAAGCTGAGCTCCAGATCTTCAACTTCCTCCTAACTCCTTAGCCAGAGTCTCTTTTTCCTAGTTAATAGCTTATCCACTTAGATCAGTTGCTGTAGCAGTTCACCAGATTTGATCCCATTCTTCAGATCAACAAAAGTTTTTGTTAGGGTAAAACTCAGCAACAAAACAAGATGCAAAAGCAGGTTTCCTAATGCAGATTCTACTGGTTTGCTGATTTAGCTCAAAAAGTGAGGCCTGATCCATTTTCCCATTAAATCAAGTACATGTGACTCAAGAAATCTGAGAGAATAGCCTTGCAAAGATCCTAGTGCTTCCTGTTGTTGTCCTCTTGTGCTGCATCTTGTTGTCCAGTTCCCCAAATCTTTATTCTAGACAATTAAGTTCTAAACTTTGTTTCATCTGAAAGCCTTTTTTCTTGGAAGCAACAGAAGAATTTACCTAATTCTTCCAAAATAAATTTAAATTGGGGGGAAAAAAGCCACAAAAAAACACTTCAAATCTAAAATAATAGGAAATGGACAGATGGACAACTGCAGAAGGTCTTTGTGCAGAGGAATAGTTCTTGGAAAGAGGAATGGAAAATAACATCTCTTGTAACTGTGGAAGACAGAAAAGGAGTTTACAGTCAAACCAAATCAATATAGGCTGTGGTCTAGAGGAATACTGTGCACCAGTTGCAAACTATAAAAATTCATATTTTTTTTCTGCTAGAGATGTTTAGCTCTGTTAGCACAACAGTGAAAGAAGAGTGCATTTCAGCACATGTTCTCGTGTGTTAGCAATGGGAGTTCTGATTATAATATGAGGAACTTCAAGGCTTTCTTATTTCCTAAAAGACTATAGGGAAGGTTATTTGGTACTTGAATGTACTGTTCTAATTTTCTCTGTTGTATATTGAACAATTAATAAAAAAAAAATCCTAGAAACCAGTCATAATGCATTGTAATACTGACCTGTAAAACAATTAAAGTTACGATATTCAAAATTAAGTTGTTCACTACAGGGAATCAGGTATTGAAGTAATAAATGATTGATTTATTTTCTTAATTACAGTCTCACTTTATTTTTTGGCTTTAGTAGCTGTACATGAATATTATTTCATTGTATCGTTTGTATGACTAAACCTTATTAACGTTGCCTCTTTCTGATACAGAGCTATGACAAATGTTTTCTTGGCTCTTCGGAGACTGCTGATGCTAATAGAGTGTTCTGTGGCCAGCTTGGAGCAGTATATGTATTCACTGAAGCACTCAACCCAGCACAGATTTTTGCAATACATCAGTTAGGACCTGGATATAAGGTAATAATGGATCTTAAAAAACTTAAAATGGGAAAAGGAAAATAATTGATAGATATAGTTGGAAGATATGCATGCATGTAGATATTCCTCTTAGGATCATGTAGAGCTATGTGATTTGTTTTCAGCAAAAGAGGATATTTCTTCAGGTATTTTAGCTAACCTTAATTTCCACCAGCTTTTTGAAAGATGCAAATTGTTTCTATAAAGCATAGCTGAAACATGTTGTATGTGAAATTCATGACTTTGGGTCATAATCAGATTAGAGCAATTTAGTATTTGGTGTACTGAATACCAGGGGAATTTGCCTGAATTCCAGGGAATTTCTTCTCTACTGTTCGTGTTTAAAACCTGAGTTAAGGCAGATTAACATTCAACAAGGCATAATAAACCAATTCTGTTCAAATGCATGGTTTCAAACAGTTCAGCTGAAGTAGAAGTTGAGCTTTTTACTCATGCTTTGCCAGTGACATTTTAGGGGACGGTTTGGACAAATGGTGCATGCATAAACTTGGATCTCTAGTGTGAACAATCACTTATGTCTTGGAATGGCTGTGTATACTATTATTTCATCAAGAAAAACAGTGCAGATACTTTGCAGAAGCCTGCAGAAAGTGCCTAGTGAAGAAGGCTTGAAAATGGATCTAACCACAGCTAAACACTATTGAATTTCTACCATCGGTTACTCCCAAATGTTCTTTTTCTGATTTGTGAAATTTGCAGTATCATCTGATGTATCTAGTATCTAGATGTATCTAGTATCATTTTTAGTATCTATCATGTGCTTTGAAAACAAAAACGTTAAAAAATAGCAAGTAAAAATCAACATTTAGATTCTAATAATATGAATTTGGTGTGCTGAAAATTATTGCTCTCAATTATTTGATGACATCAAATGTGAATGACAGTGATGGCTGCAGATATTTTTTATGGTATGTATGTAGTGTGAATAGACAAATATGTGTCAAGGTGACTTGGAGAAGAGGAAGTCTACTGCATATGGTTCACGGTTAAAACCTGCCTTGAAACTAAAAATGTTCATTCAGTCAAGAGAAGTGTATTACCTGTGCAAACAAGGAGTATTTTACTCCAAGCTTAATACTGTATTTTTTTTGAACAAATATTCCTACAAATGTTTTTTGGTCATATAAAAGAAAGTTATGTAACTTTATACTTAATAATAAATGTAGTAAATCTTTATGAATTTATTAAGTTCCTGGATTTGCAGCAGCATACTGAAGTGATATCAAATAGGAATAATTCTTTCATTTGTTTTAAGAAGTGAAAATTATTATGTAATATTTTGTGAGTGTTGAAGTGGTTCATAAGGCATACAAGCTTTCACGCTAAATGTTTCCAGTAGTTACTGCACTAACCTTATTACAGTGTTGCCAAATTACCTTGCTTGATTTATAGGTTTCCCTTAAAATGTTTCTTCACATCTGTAGCTTCTTGCTGATTTTTGTAAAATGTCAGTTAGATGAAATTTAATACTTTGGAGATATTTTTCTTTGGTATATCAAGTTTTTAGGTTTAGGTCATGTTCCCGACACGGTTAATGCCTCCTTCCTCTCTAAAGTAGTTTCCTTCCTTGTCTAAGAATCTGAAAGTATACTTTATTAAGAACAGTTAAAGAGAGCAGGTTCCTAGAACAGGACCCTAAAAATAACACAGTTTCTTTCTTTAACCTCCTTATTTCCAAAAAATAAGACAAAACAGAACCCTTTTTTCTCACCTTCTTCCAACCCAAGATCTACACACAACCAAAAAAGAACCATGTCCTGTAATTTAGAGATCTCAGGGTACTGATGATGGCTTTCACTCAAAGCTTGCCTATTTCATGTCTCAGTTTATTTCTGTAAATTGTTTCAGATTCTGTGCAAATACAAATGTCCATCAGCTCAGAACAATTCAGTATGGTATTTCATAGTCCAAGAGAGCCTCAGCTGACACGTCGCTCAAATTGTTGGACACTGGAGATCACGTTCTTGCTCTTTCCTGACTTGCTGATGCAAATTGGCCTTTCAGAAACTTTTCTTACGTAGTTCACTACATATCCTGTTCATTCTAACTTGGTACTGTTAGCCAACAGGGAGAATCAACTGTTCCACTTTTCCAAAAGAACAACTATTCTAGATGCATTGTGAACTCTCGTTGTGCCAAAGATTTTCTCCCAAAGGAGGATTATTCAAAATACTTGAGAATTTTTGGGGAATGCCTTCATACAGATGTTTTTTTCTTTCCTATGACTGTCTGTGGTAGTTCCTTTGATTTACAATTCCTACTTTAGTCCACTATATCCCAGGATTTTGATTCTCCAGGGAAAATGACCATCCCTTATTTAGCATTCTACCTGCTTTGTTCATGACAAGAAACTATGATTTTGCCTCCCATTCAGCTCCCTTCCAAATCATTCATAATTTGCCCAGTCTACAATGACTGACATTAAGACTTCTGGAATACAGGGAAATCTGCATACTCTACCAACATACCAGAGCTCAGGACAGGGCAATAGGCACACGTCTGTGCGTATGTGTAGTATGTAATGTTGCAAATAACAGCAAAGCCACATGGTTCAAGAAAAGGCAGATCTTGATCTACAAAGAAAAGTGAATCTGTTGCACCTTGACCCTATTCTGTGATGCAGGTAGTAGCAACAGATTTTAGAATTAACTAGAGAAGTCATTAAAATAAGCTTTATTTATTATTTATGTATAATATTTTTAGAATTATATATCTAATGTTTATATTATATTATATTATATATTATTTATTGCACGTTACATGCTTATTACAGAATGTTGTAACATGGAAACAGTTCATAAAACTGCATAAAACATGCTCAACAAGTCCCTCTGAATGCATCTAGTTGTAACCAGCATGTCCTAATACAAAAAATTATTTATTAAGCAAATAGATACTTTATTTTGAAATACTAAATTTTCAGTTGTAGCAAAAGACTTATATTTTTAACAAAAAATATTATATTGATTGTGTGAGTAACAATATTGAAAAGCTGACACACTTAGTAAGTATCGCATAGAAATGACACGTTATCAAACTTTTAAGAGGGGAAATGAGGAAAATATACTGGCAGTAGAACTGTGCGATTTGCCTCTTCCCTGTCTACCTAAATTCATCCATAAAGTGTCTTGATATTTTAAATTATATTTAGTAGAAACACAGTAGAATTCAATATTTGCACTCACAGGTTTTATATGTGAGTGCATGATCATTTCGAGTCTTGCAGTTGCTGAAAGGGATGTTTCAACAAAGCCCTTTCCTAATAGCCCTGTCAGGTCTGTACCACTCTTCTTAACCCTCCCATATGCAGTTCAAAACAACTTCTGAGATCATTCCATATGTTGCTGCATCTGAGTTTGCTCTTGATCAGTACTGCAGTATCAATCTTTTTGTCATACACAAAGGTTGGGTAAAAATGCATTAATACAAACGCACACAAAATGCTCTTAAAAATTCAAATTTGCTTAACCCAATTCTATAGTACAAGGTAATATTCTACATATGGTTGCTGAACCTACAATAGCAGAATGAGGTAAACGGTAAATCAAAAAGCAGCACTCTTGTTGCTAAAGGAAAGGGAAAACTGCTGGTGTTTAAATAGTGGTCCTGATCAAACACAGCTTATTTTACTGAAGAAGTCAGTGCTGGAGTAATTCTCAGCTCTCTCCCCTCTTCTGTTCCTGTAGGAGCAAGTACTATCCTTCATACCTTCCTTATGGATCCTGTATATATTTTTACCATATACAGAATATGTTAAATCTCAGGCTATATTTTGGTGTCTTTATGCCCTCACAGTGGTTGTACCAGATCTCAAAATTGCATTCCTTCAGTAACCGGTAACTAACCATTTGCAATTTGAGCTTATATGCTCAACAGCCTCTGCTATCCTCCTGTGGTTTATTTTCCCAAGTCCCTAGAGCAGTATGTGTATACTGAATTTCTTTTCTCTTTCTGTAGATCAATGTTAGTAATAAAGGAATATTATATATCAGAATTTGTACCCTCTCTTCCCACCCTGTTATAATAATCTTTTGGGTAGGAGACTAGTGTTTCCAATTTATGATCACTTCTGTTAGGCTTTGATGGCAGAAAGTCCCTTTAATTCTTGTTTTTCTCAAAAAAAAGTGAGGCATTATTATATTGATTCATAACTTATTTATGCTTGACTTTCAAACAATGGTCTCTGATAAATTCTTGAGGCATAGTAAACACTGAAAACTAGGAGGTACAATAATGCCAAAATTTGTTTATAAAACTGATTTTATTTTTAAATATGCAATGTAGAAAGTTGCAAAATTTCATGGTAATGAAATGATGCAAATTTGATGTTGGAACACTTTGACATATTTAAAACAGCAAAACTATATAGAGGTAAAACATTCTGAGCTTTGGGATCTAACGAAGCTTAGACGCATGAAAAATTTTCTGGGTAAGAAGTGTTTTCATGTGGGAAAGCATCAAAATATAGTACATGCAGAATGCAGATATCCTTGGAAATCAGTGAAATCACTGAATTATTTCTGTCTCTGCAGAAAGTGCACACAGATTTATCTGTAGAGTTAAAAAAGCCCTCTGGGGAGAAATACATCATCACCTTCCTCAGGACAAATCTGTAATCTGTAGCAGTCATTTCCTGATAAGTGAGATGTAGCCAGCCGTATCAGAACCACGTCTCAAGCTCCAACCATAATACTCATTCTTTGGGTTTTCTACTTCAGTAAGTAGTGTGGCACAATCGGAACACATTTCTAGATTATAACATTTGGTGCTGAGGGCTGAATACCCACAGCGTGTGATTTTGGGGTTTTTACGTCAGATTGGTTGTGGTCTGATCCTTTGGGTAGAATGACTGCCATCAGTGGGAGGACAAGGCAGTTCCAGCCAAAAGGAAGTCTCTAAAAGAAGTCTCTCGGGTTCAAAACACCTTTGCAGTATGAACAGAGCAGTAAGTGGGGATCACCGGGAGTTTCCCTACAAAATGGACTCCTAACCCAAGTGCAAATCACAGAATCACAGAATGGTTGAGGTTGTTGGAAGTGACCTCTGGAAGTCACAAACAAATCTGATGCCCCAGTTGCTTCATGATTATAGTGTCCCTCTGTTGGACTCTCTCCAGTAAGTCCATGGCTCTCTTGTACAGGGGAGCCCAGAACTTCAGGTGTGGACCTACCAGTGCTGAGTAGAAGGGAAGAATCACCTCCCTCGACCTGCTGGCAACACTCCTCCTAATGAAGCCAAAGATAACCTTTGTGAAATGACTTCCCCTTCACTTACTTTTGCCCTTCCTACTTGCGTTCTCTGTTACGGTACCTGCACCTCACCCATTTGCAGCATGGCATCGCTGCCTCCCTCCCGCTTAACATCACCAAGCATGGGACAGGGCTGACTGACAGATCTGCTCCAAGGCTTCTCCAGCAGCTGCAGCCCGGTGCCCAGTCTATTCAGTCTACATCAATCTTACAACCCACGTACAAATGGATGCTTGTCACAAGACCTTATATTGCCATGTGTCGGTCACTTGAGCAGATGCGCTTTGCCATCATTTGGCTGTAAGCAGGAGAATTTTGTCAGGGTTTCCAGCAGCCTTGAGAGCTCTGCAAAAGCTCGATGGGTTTTATGGGTTTATGTAATTGGTACGAACCTGTAATTTGTTTGGAAAGAGCAGCTGATAGCCTGTAAGTTCCATATTTTAATTCTTCTAGTCTGGATAACCGAAACCCAGTGACAGTACTTTCAATGGTTTCATGATTTCTTACTGTGTGGGGGGAGGGAGGGAAAGATTTGGTAGGACGAAAAGAGAATTGTGATGGCTATAGCCAGTGAAAACAAGCAAAATGATTCAGAATGAACCTCAGCAACACATTCTTTTAAACTTAGTAAAGATTTTAGAAACATAACATATACATGTTGCATTACTTAAATGGTGGTCATTTCTAAACAAATTTGCTTTACTTGATGTCAGTACAGCACTGTGTGTTACTACTACTTGTCTTTTTGCCACTGTCAAATGATTGTTACATGCAAAAGTAGTTATGTGCCAAGTCAATCTGACAACGCTTTGCAGAAAGGCAGAAATCTATCTTCTTGTGCTTGATTGATTTGTCAGTGTTGGCAGAAAACCTAGTTTTAGATCAGATATGAGTCATGGTATGTTTAAGAATAATAGAAAATTTCAGTCTTCCTTTGTAAAAGCTTTGAGTTTCAGAATCATTAATCTGAAATATGGCATTTAGATTTTTATTTGGAATTTTTTTTTAGTTTAAGTAGCTTGTTTATAAATACTCCTGACTGTTAATGAAGCATTGGTTTTAATGCTGTTTAAAAATAACAAATTTATCCTTTAATCAAAATGGTGTGGGATTCAATATTCTCATTTGAGTGAGTTACATAAACTAAAATACAAGGTATTTAATTTGTTCTTTATTTTTAATGTCTTATATGCTCATTTTTTTATTTTAACATATTTATAGGTGTTTAATGTGACACATTTCTCCCAGAGTTATTTCTGAAACTTGTTAACACTGATGCTGAAAGGAGAGAGAAATAATAATATATAAATACCAATTATTATATTGAGGTGTTGATGTGGAGTAAATTTAAAAATCGGCTTCTTGTTCAATAGCATTTAAACTACTAGAAATTTAAAACAAAGTTTAGCACTTTCTATATTCCCTCTCAAGTCCAATGTATTTTATGCCCATTTTGTGGCAAGGATTTTGTCTAAAATATTTACTTTGTAAGACTTTTTTTTTCTTTTTTTTTCAGAGCACATTTAAATTTAAATCTGAGAGTGACATTCATCTGGCTGAGCACCATAAACAAGTGCTGTATGATGGGAAACTTGCAAGTAGCATTGCTTTTACTTATAATGCGAAGGCTACTGATGCTCAGCTATGCCTTGAATCCTCACCAAAGGAAAATCCTTCAATTTTTGTACACTCCCCCCATGCTCTTATGCTTCAGGTTTGTCCCAGTAAATTAATGATCTGTCATTACTGTTAACATCATTTGGATAATTAGAGGATTTGTGTGCTAGTGTACACAGAGATTGTTATTTTGTATTTTTTTCATCCCTTAATACACCTATCACTTGAACTGTTCTTTCTTCACTCACTTTCTAGAGAAAAAAATGATTATTTTTTCATTAAGAAATATATATTTAATAAAATAAGGCATAGTTTGCCACGATACTGAAGTTTTTCTGTTTAATGTTTACTTCCAAGTATAGTGATTATCATGAAACATAATTAATAAAAATAAGTTAAAACAAGTCTGATTTAGTTTGCATTTAATTCAGTGTTAAAGTGTTCCCAAGTTATGTTTGTAACTGTCCTTTAAAATTGAAAGTAACTGATGTTTTCTCTTTCTTTATTTATTTTATTAATTTAGGATGTGAAAGCTATTGTAACGCACTCCATTCACAGCGCAATTCATTCCATTGGAGGGATTCAAGTTCTTTTTCCTCTCTTTGCCCAGTTAGACAATCGCCAGCTGCACGACAGTCAAGTGGAAACAACAGTTTGGTAAGCTTCTTTCAAGCAAGATAAAAACTAAGTTAAGCTAGGATTATTTCTTTTTTCGTTGTGGAAATGTTTGATTTGTTTTCTTTCGTAAATGCTGTGACTTACATTTTACCCTTGTTTCTTTGAAAATAGTATTATGTTTTTAAAAGTAGTTTACTGTAGAGATGTGTAATTTGTATTAATCTGATGAGATTCCAGATGGAACTGGCGTAAAATTGATCGGATTAAATAATGAATTCAAATCACTCTAGAGCTTTTAAGGAAAGTTTTGAGACAGTTTTTGCAACTTCTAAAAGAAACCAACGTGCTTTTACTTCACAGTGCAATGTTGTTTACTTTCTCAAGGTCTCTGTCATTTCAGTTCATATATAATAACATTCCAAATTAAGGAAAGATATTGCCATCCATATTAATACATGGTCAGAAAGTCATAGAGCTATGATCAATTCTTTTGTGACCATATTACAATTGCAACAGTGACTGGGGACACACCAAGAGAGTTTTAAACCGGGACACATGAAGTCTCTGGTCTGATACTGTGGAATTAATCCCTTGGTTGAAAAGCCTGCACAGAAGTTAGGTGAATGCTTCCGTTTGTACCCCGAAAAGCACTGCTTAGGAGCCTGTTGGTACCCACGCCGACTTGTTCAAAGCTAGCTCAGCGGTAGTTATTTTTGCAAAGAAGATTTCTTGCCACCTGCTTGTCAGGGCAAGCTCCTATTCTAGTGGCAACACAAGATGTCTAAACGTGTCAGAACAAAGTGTGTCACCTAAACCTTTGGAGGTAACAAAACTGAAAAGGTTTCCATGGCTGAAGAACTGGGACGGTGTTTCCTGGTTGGATGGTATGTCACCAAAACCTGCTAGAAAAGAGTGTTTAGGGGCAGCATAAGCTGACTCTTGTATTTTAATAAATTTGTAAAATAGGTGCATAATTCAGAGTATATGGCTTATTTTACTGCTTAGAATACTATGCTATTAAATATTCTGGATATTTGCTATTGCATTAGATAGTTCAGTAAAAAATTAGTTAACTGAAAAATAATTAAATAAGGCAAAAATTACTGACAATTTTGAAAAATTTAACTGAAAGTGATGCATCGGTATAATTTCTCATGAAAGATCACTTGTCTCCATCCAATTTAAGAAAATCAATTTGTTAAAGTTTTGTTGAGTCATCTGTTTTACCCTTTCGTAACTCAAATATAGGTAGCTAAGATGGCTGCTGGGTTTTTTTTTTCTTTCTGTAGTGTGAAAAGTTAATGTTTTTAATGAGAATATTTCATTACTTTAGAAGTAATAACACAGTCTTAAAAATAACAAATTCTACTTCCAAGCATTATAGTGGTGCAAATTATTTCATTCCATGTTGAAGACAGAAAAGCTGGTTGTGTATTGGCTCCTGGTGGGTATTTACTTTTTTGTAGTCTGTTTTCCAATATGTACTTTGCATTGAAGTATTGTGAAGTAAGGGGAATAGAAAAAACAATGCTTGATTTGAAATAAATTTGGAAAAAGAATTCCCTGTATTTTTTTATTTACTGGCACAGCAGTAGGCAAAAATGCTTTATTCCAATTTAAGGAAGATAAGGAAGATAATGTGTGTATGTGCTCATATATATGAATAAAATATATGTTAAATTCATTAATGAGCTGAGTATGTAATAAATGATAAAGCAGTAACTAGGTCTGTTTAAAAATGGAGAGCTAATATAATGTAAGTTTTATAAGTCAAGATAAAGACTAATTCTTCCCAAGTGTGTGGTCTTTCCAGTGAGGGATAACATTCATAAAGTTCAGTTGAAAATGTACAGAACATTTCTGGAGTTAGTTGAACTGTAAGTAGGAAAAAATGTTGTTCTTGAATAAATCAATGCCTTTCTTCTATAATTAGATTACCTTCTAAAAAGACGCCTGTAAATGATTATGCTATATGATTGTACAAATGCATAATACAAGAAGATGTGATCCTACCTCAAGAACATATTCAAAAGACTTTTAAACAATAGCTGCTTGATGAATTGTAATTAAAATGTTGAATTAACCATGGTTTTGATATATGTGCATTATATTCTCATATTTAACTTAATAGGATACAGATATTGAGAAAAATAATAGTTTAAGTGAACAAGAAAGTAGGCAAATAAAGGAATAAAAAATTTCTGAAGGCAAAGAAAGGAGTTAATGGTGAAAGGGGGCTAAACATGAGATACAGGGCTATGTTTAAGATTCGTCTGTGGAGTAGAATAAGGGAACAAATATACTTACTGAGGCTTTTCCTTCTTTCTGCTTGTTTTATAGACTATTCTCTCTTTATTTGTTCCTTTCCAAAATGCAGTTGTTTAACTATATCTGATACTTGTTTATACCCATCTTACCTATGAAAATGTGTCTACAACAGCAACAGAGAGCTGCACCACTTTCTGAAAAGTAGTTGGCGTTCAGTCATTACAGTCTATGTATTTTTATAAGCAGATAATCTTTATGCTGCTTTGCCAAAAACCGAAGGTCCAGATGATGCTGGATGATAGTAGACCATTATGTTTGTAAAGGCTTACTATGGCTGTAGAATTTCTTTCTTTCTGGTGGCCAACTGAGAGGACTCAGAAGTTGTCCCTTGAGTAGTTGTTCTGCCTTATGTCTTAATGTGTTCATGGTAGGAGGGAAGTATGAATAGCTTGATACTCCAGTGTCCGTGTCCTAGGTTTCCAGACTACTTTTCTGAATCCTTCTCACCTCCTTCTCTCCTGCACATATCAAAATCTGTTTAATAAGTTCAAGGTTCTCAATTATTTCTTTAATTTGATTTTTTTTAACATTAGAAGGAGTTTGTTAACAGGACTATAAGGGAACACCTTGCTTTTTAATCGTCGTATCCACTTATAATTTTAATCTTTTTAAATTAAGAGATTCATTGTAAATAAAAATCTAAAATATAAAGCAGGGAAATATGAATATAGAAACTTTGTGGTTTAATGGCATTCTTTGTAAATGTTCTTTATTCCTGTCATGTGTATATCCTTGTGTGCCTTATCTACATCTTCCATTAGACCAAGTATTGAAATAACCTACAATTCTGCTTTTGAAGCACTATATAGATTCTTATGCTCTCATACACTGAAATTAAAAGAATGGAAACTGAGTTCATATCTTAAGTATGTTTTCTTAGATTAAGTGATGCACCTGCTATTCAGGAGAGTGGACCCTCAACTTGAATGCCAAGACTGCTGCTTTTCATTCTGCTTTTCAGTACTCTGGTTAGAATAGAAAATTTAGCAGTTTAGGTCAATAAGGTGTTTAATAAAAAGAAATATAGAGTGTTTTTTTCTGTTATGCTGCTGTTGTTACCTTTGATTATACTGTATGGGTAATATGATAGGAAGGACTTGCTTTGTTCACTTGTGGTCCCTCGCCTATGCTTTTGCATTCTTTTGGGTCTGCTGAGCACTGACATACAGGCTGATTCTGACAAGGTGTTGGGTGTGCAATCTTCGGCACTGGCCCAATTCCATCACAGAATAAATAACAAGTCTTAATTCAGATGAGATTGTTGCTTTGGACTGTACCATGTTGAAAAAATATTTGAAAGCTGTAGCTGTTTGCTTAAATAGATGAAATAATTCCAGGAATTCTTTTACATACTTACACTAGAAGTTACTAACTGGATTTGCTAGATTGCATACACTATACTATAAATTAAAACTACTTCTACTGGTTATCATACTAAATAAATGCAGTGCCTAGGCGCACCTTATCTTTCTTAAAGGTCATATATAGACTCACCTAAAATTTGTAGCAAAGTAAACATAGGCATCTTTTCAGTCAGTTTTATCACTGACATTATTTTTACTAATATAGGTAGCCCTGCTACAGTGTATATTGCCCACCTGTTGTAAGTCAGTGAAATGGAAACATTGGTGAGGTGGGCAACAATAATATTTCAACTCATTTTCTTCATCTTTTCCTGTAAATGTTTTGTGTGTTTTGCTTTGATCAGTTAGTATCTTGACCTCTTTTTTTTTAGGTTTTTTTTATATTCAGATGATGACTTTTTGAGTTCCTGTCTGTGACTAGTTGTGTTGCTGCATCTACTTTTTGATAGATTAATAGTTTGATTGGAAATAGGCATTTTTCCTATCAGTTTGCACAGATAGGAAATAGCACAGCTTGATAGGAAATACAATTTGATGTCTTGATGTGTTTATTAGCTTAATGCAAAAAATCTGTGAGTTTCCAATAATTCTTAATAATGTGATTAGTTTAATTTAAGATTGTGGTAGCAAATAAGATGAATGCCAAGTAGTATCATACCTGCCTAACCTGTCCTCTCCAACTGTCTTTCAAGAATTTTTTCTTTTGTAACAGCTGAGAGTCAGCTTGAGAGTGGGTACAAAAGTCATCCTTTGTGAGGTTATTGCATTTACCTTTGTGCTTCTGATGGGGAGTCAAGGTCCCAGTCCATCGTGGCCGGCAGTCTATAATTTAGAATTTGCAGAGTGGTCCTGATAACCCTCTCCTCGTGCGTTTCAAAAGGAAAAAGGCTGAATCTTCCCAAACTGTGACAGCAGCAACGTGACTTGCCAAATCAGACTGCCTGGATGATGGCTTATAATGAAAACAAAGTCACTGTATCATGCGGTAGAATCCTCTGTAAACTCCCAAACTGTGGTACCTCCGCACACTCCCAAAGATCCAGGTATTATTAAGGGTGGCTAATTTATGACTGGAGTCTGTATCCCAAATTGTTATGCCCATCAGCAGAGGTGTGTAATGACTTGCCTTTCTAGTTCTCCCACGCAACACCTATTCATCCGAACCATGTTTAGTGGCATCAGTTTGGATGAAACGTGTAGTAATCTTATTGTCCACATTATGTTATGAGAGAAAGAAGTGGAAAAGAGAAAAGAAGTTTCCTCTTTCTCTCCAAGAAGCTTACAGAAAGAAAAAAGGTAGTTAAACTGGAAGCTAAGGAAGCACTTTAGAGAGCTGCTGTAGCTGTA